TGATAATCAATATTTTGTTCTGGTATCATATGTATATACGCATAAGACAACTGATCTCTATGATTTCTTAACGTGACATAGCTTCTTCTCCCCCTGCAAACAAAAAAGAAAACAAGGTTATTTAATAAAAGGATCATACGAAAAATAATCATTGTGATTCAAATTGTTGTAAGGATTTTTTTGAATAAGCAATGCTTTTCACCAGAATCTTCTTTGAAAAAACGACTTTTACAAATCACAGCCATGCAAATCTGCCACTGTGTTGTAAGATCACTAGGAGAAATGTATTCTTTAATGAGTATTTTACATTGAATGGAACGTCTCAACTTATTTGTCGCTTAATCTCTTTTAATGACCTTGTTTTCTTTCTCGTTTGAAAGGGGAGAAGAAGATAGGCCACGTTAAAGACATCATAAAGATCAGTGTTGTATGCGTATATATTATATACACAGGCCCCGCGGAACGTTTATCAAAATGGGGGTCTAAAGTATTTACGATCAGGTAGAGGGTAGCGAGCGTAAATTGGTGGGGGGGGGGGGGGGTTCAGAGGTTTTAGGAATTTAATTACGGTCAGAGAAGCACAAATATTTTGATGCCGCATTTGTGTCACTGGCAGGTCAGGGGGGGGGGGGCGTTTTCTATTTTATTTCTTAAGGTAAAATGTACGTTACCATCCTATTGTTTACCGGTTTGTGAGGCTAGTGGGGGGGGGGGGCGGGCCGGTAGAATCGGCCCGTGGATCCGCGCCTGTCCAAAATAGCACACACACAAAATCGCCTCGCCGCTACGCGGCTCAGTAAAGAAAGAATGTAAAGGTTGCTCCGAATAATGAGGAGGGAATAATGTGCAGAACGGGAAAAAACCGAGAGAATGTCACCAGGGGATGAAAGTAAGTAACAGCTATGTAGCTTGTATGGATCTTTGTATAAACAAGAGCCCCCGTCAGTACTAAAAGAGCCCCTGTGAGAAGGCTCACGGGGGCTCTTTTTGGGGGGAAGAGCCCCCGTGGACAAAAAATTAATTTGAGCCCTGATCCACACATTTGAATATGTTGGTAAACTGGTCTATTGTGTAGCTGGAGCATGTCTCGTACAACCCTCCTTAAAAATGAATTCTAAATTCCGTAGGAAACCTTAGTTTAAAAAAGAAATTGGTGCAGTGACTCAACATTATGGATAGCATAATTATTTGTATAGGTCATCTCAAAGGATAGACCCTCGTAAGACATACATTTTGAAAAATTGTTATTTTAGACATTGTTGAGTTGAAACATCCCAGAAGATTGTCTCCTACTACATCTGGGTGACTCTAACGATTCAGCCCATTTAAGGTGCCAATACGTAGAGTGATTTCAACTTTCAGAGATTCATAATTTCCTATTTTTGGTCTGATAAGGTCTGATAACATTCACTAGCCTGCTTCTCTGATTGCTCTTCTTTCTTTTAGAGTATTATTTTGTCTATTAAGGTAGGATTGTCCTTTATCAACGGCCAACGACTGCAAGGATAGCAAAACATACAATATACTAACAAAGGTCGTCTTTCAGATTATCCTTAATTCATCTAGCATTGAAGTCACTACATTAGCACCATTTTCTCTTACCTGAACAATGTTGCCATGTAACAATTACACTTAGTATTTTAAACATCAGAAATTATGAAGAAAAAATACAATTAAGTCAATCACAAGCACCTTATCATAAAAACGAATCATCAGAGGTAGATTGAGTGAACGAGCGAGGGAGAGGGGGGAAAGAGAGGGAGAGAGAGAGAGAGAGAGAGAGAGAAAGAAAGACAATAACAATTAGAATGTATGGGGGCAGTGGCGTAATGAGCAAAAACGTTTGGGGGGGCTGACAAAAAAAAAAATCCGAATCACCCCACTCTAACATGCAGGCCCCGCTGAACGTTTCTCAAAGAGGGGTCTAGGGGCAAAGCCCCCGAAGCTCAAGGGGTATGGGCATCAGTGACGGATCCGGGAATTTCTTACCGGGGGGGGGGGGGCAAAAATGGCAAGGGGTGAAATATATGTAAAACGATGAAGCGACAGAACGAGGCTTCAACGGCGAGGGAGCGGAGCGACCAAGCAGGGGATGGGTCTGGGAGGGGGTTCTGGCCCCCTCCCAGAGTAAGAAGCATTTGTAATTTTAGAACCAAATTAGACGTATTTTCAGGCACTTCCTGGAGTAATATGACGTAAAATTGCTTTTTCCTACCCCTTCCAAGAGTAGGGATCTTTTGCAATTTGAGAACCATATTTGGCCCATTAATGTCCACCGGCACTTCATGGAAAAAAGAGGCCTTCTGATTGGTTAGAAATTAGAGAAAAGTGATTTGTCGCGTCGTGAGACGTTGTATAAATTATGCTTTGATGCTGCACAATGCACAAAGACGGTGGTCCGGTACTTCACCAGTAGTACTTGCAAAAATTATCTCGAGTGTATAAACTGTGTCGTTATTAGGGGCGTCGCTAGATCTTTGTCAATGGGGAGGGGGGGGGGGGTGTGAAGCGGCCGCCGATTACCGACAAAACGAGCCACCAATATTATCACCGACAAATATAAAAATGCCAATGTCCAGATGTCGACAAATTTAACCCTATAATCCCTGGGCCAAGAACTAAGTTATTTTTCAGTTTTTTCCCCTCCCGCGCAAAGCGCAGAAGCTTTGACACTTCATTAAATTAATAGAGAAAGAAGACGATCCGTTGTACTGTTCTCAACTCTTAAAGCTTGTTTCGCCCCTTCCGCGCAAAGCGCGGAAGCTATGACGTTTCATTTAATTATTAGAGAAAGAAGACGATTTATTGTACCGGTCCCGACTCTTAATCCTTATCTGAATTCAGTTTCCCCTCCGCCGCCCGCACGAAATGTGGAAGCTTTTACGTTTCAATAAATTATTACTCTTAAACCTTGTCTAAATTCACTTTCGCCCACCCTGCGCGAAGCGCGGAAGCGTTCACGTTTCATTAAATTTATAGAGAAAGAAGACGATTCATTGTACCGTTGAATCGTTCTTGACTCTTAATCCTTGTCTGGATTCCGTCCTCCCCCCCCCCCCTCCCCCCCCCCCCCCCTGGCGCAAAGCGCGGAAGCGTTGCTTTTCAATAAATTATTACTATTAATCCTTGTCTGAATTCATTTTCGCCCATCCCGCGCGAAAATCGGAAGCTTTCAAGTTTCATTAAATTATTAGAGAAAGAAGACGAATTGTTTTATTGTTTCTTTGTCTGAATTCAGTTCCCCCCCCCTCCCACGCGAAGCGCGGAAGCTTTGTCGTTTCATGTAATTATTACTCTTAATCCTTGTCTGAAATCATTTTCGCGTTTCATTAATTATTAGAGAAAGATTCAGACGATTCGTTGGATCGTTCTCGACTCTTAATCCTAGTCTGAAATTTTTTCTTTCTTTCCCCCCCCCCCCTCCCGCGCGAAGCGCGGAAGCTTTGCCGTTTCATTAGATTATTAGAGAAAGAAGACGATTCGTTGTACCGTTCTCTACTCTTAATCTTTTCTGAATTCAATTCCCCCCACTGGGTGCTTAACGGCAGTGTTACTCCCAGAGTAAGAAGCATTTGTAATTTTAGAACCAAATTAGACGCATTTTCAGGCACTTCCTGGAGTAATATGACGCTTAACGGCAGTGTTACATGATGTAAGTATGGAACGCTCGTTCGCAAATCTGTGCATGCTCAGCCCGAGTGGTGGGTAGCATGTTATCTCCCGGCAGTGCTTTGCACAGTAGCTTCTGGAAAGGAATTAGTGTTACTGTTAGTGGCCACTATAAGGCCCTTAGTGACTATAAAAAAACATATGCTCTTCCTGGCTATTTAGGAATGGGTCAGTTTGCAAACAAAAATGGAGAAACTAGCATTTTGTTGAAAATCATGTGATATCACGAACATTTATACATTACTTGTGAAAATAAGTCATGGTTCAATTTTATTTGGGGAGGCGGCGCCCCCAAGACCCCCCCCCCCTCAACCAGTACGCCAGTGGGGGGGGGGGGGATACCATCGATCGCCTTTACAAAGTTTGAAAGCCGAGTTTCTTTTCTGGTTAACTGAGATAGATGATTGAACAGCCGAGATGCGAAATAAAGAGTAATGCTTCTAAGAAAAATTTGTGTTCGATTTAACTATGCATTATTAAATATGACATTATTCCATTCTATCAGTATCAGGGTGATAATTAATTATTCAAAACTGTCAGAAATTTATCGACAACTTAGATTTTTCATTTTCAGATGTCCATAATGTAAGATTTGAGACTTGTCATCTTTGGCATTAAAGAGCAATGTAAAACATCAAGCACCAGCCGCCGTTTTTACAATGTAAAGTGATTTGACCCCCATAATTTCAAAAGCTTTACCAGAATATTGATTTCTATTTGAAAATTAATCGGCTAACGTAATAATGACTGTAGCCTGTCTAAAAATCTTACGTAAGATAGTTGATAATAGAGCCACTGATGACTATACATGATAAAAGAAATACAATACTGTATAACCCAGGGAAATATTACCCTATTATACAACACCTACGTGGATCCTTGTCATTTGATTGGACGATTGTTGGTCACATGATATTCAATAGATGGTATATTGCACGGTCGTGCATTTTTGGTTATATGCGCCGTGCATTTTTGGTTATATGCAGACTGCGTACCTCTCAGTCGTGCGCGCGCGTATTCCTGCGTGTATCTGACGCGAAGGCAATCTCAATGTAATCGAGAAGGCTTGACTCCAACTTTAATTTATTTTTAATATAAGGAGTAAAGCATAATTTGTTGATTAACGTTCTATTAGATCTTCTTCGATGTTGTATAAAACAAATAATGAATGTTTTTCATTCGTTCAATAGTGCAAATATTTTCATTCGTTGAAAGATTAACGTTAATTCTATTCAACTCGGCTGACGCCTCGTTGAATAGAATGTTAATCTTTCAACTCATGAAAATATTTGCACTATTGAACTCATAACCATTCATTATTTGTATATTACTCTACAAAGTACAAGCTATAATGATGAAAGTTCTCTAGATTTGTTCAAAAGTAAAAAGAAATACAAGCACTATTCGGTCCTTTACACAAAGCCCATTTTTCTCGACACGATCTGAGATTTAGAGTGACATTACTGTAAAGTTTAATCACGGCTTATATCGAAGCTCATACATCTCATCATAATACTCTGTCCCGTCTGCAACTGCTCTCTGTACGTCTTTAGTCGCAGAGGAAAGCGGTGGCTTCTCCTTCTTACTGAAATGAAAGCAAGAGCTATTGATAGCCGTTTGATGGAAATACCCAAGACTATTTGCCAGCATCTTGGGTACCCCTCCAGGATTCTTCCAAGTCTTGATGATATCGGTAGATGCATCCCACTTTAAAAGGCCATCGTGGAACTCCAGCCCTCCAACCTGGCAAATCTTCTGCAGAAATGGCTTCGGGTTGGCCATGAAGTCCTCGCAGTCTACAATCAAGGGATCTGGGTCCAGGTTCTCTCGCACGTGCTTCCACGCCGCGTGTAAGTTGTAGTAGTGGCCTCCCGATGAGTAGTAATATGGATCATCTACTCGGAGATCAAATTCCTCTTCTGGTTTGCCAGTGGTGTACCCGGGCATGGTGAGGGAGGTCTGCAGGGAGGCTCTTCTGTAAGACGACATAGCGAGCTGAGGGTCGCGGATAATAAAGACATACTTGAAGCCGCTGTCACGAGAAGGGAGGTACCGCTTTCGAGGACCACAGAATGAGCTGCCCATGTCCTTCACGGCGACCTGGGGGCTATCAAGATTGTCAATGGATCGTTTGACTTCCGAAAACCTGCCGACAAAGATTATTTGAAAATAATATCAGTTAATTGTATTATACCATTCGATGTTATCCGCTCTAAATCATTTATTTCTAAATCAAGAATACTGAAAAGAATGAGAAACCTATATATTACTTGCTAATTTCTCGAAATATCACAGGCTTAAGAATAAAAATCATGACGCACTTCAAATTTGTACAAAAGTGAAATATTAGGTATTAATTCAAGATTGTTGAGATGCTTTTCTTCTTCCGTTACTGGTTACTATAATTCGATTAGATCAAATACTGTAAACGATTCTCAACTGTCAGGTTTCTATTACCTCGACAATGGAAGCCATAATTTCTTCTTCTTCTTTTCTCTAAATGTTAAATCATTTTTTATTGGGGGTTGGTTGGTTGTATGTTGGGAGAAAACAAGTCAGCAAAGATTTAGCAAATGAATGGAGAGGGTCCGTGCAATTACAACTTAATCGTCCATCTGTTCATAGTGCAAACTCTCTCTCTCTCTCTCTCCCTCTCTCTCTCAATGTGTATAATATTTATATATATTTATATATTTCTCTCTCTCTTTCTTTTCTTGGAAGCTCTTTCAGCAGCATTGATAAAAAAAAAAATGTGGATCTTACTGAATCAAGTTCTGAAAATGCACATGGGCGGATGAGGAATGGAGCTTGGGGGCTTCGACCCCCCCCCCCCCCCCAGAGAATTCAGAAATGACCAATGTTCTGAAGCCCGCCACTTCGTGTTCGGGCATTGAAGTGGTCTGCTTTATAAATGTTATCTTTATCATGTTATTTCATCGCCAGCAGGAAGATGTAAGAGAATCTTCATAAAAGTTGGCCACTTTTTGTAATAACTTCAAAGTGTACAGGTTGTTTCTTTCTATTATAGATTGAATTATTAAAGAATAAACAAAAATCATGGCCATGCAAAAATGTACCTTTGACATCGGACCACAGAATGTTAACACCCCCCCCCCCCCCCCCCCCCCCACAGAAAACAGATTTTTCGGTTGGTCTACTTACGCGAAATTCTTTCCTTCTACCAGAGGTAATTTGTTCATATTATGAATAAGCTGAGCAGCTTTGTCGAACTCTGCACGGTGTTCTTCATTCCAATCTGTCGGCAGGTCCTTCCCAGTGTGTGCCTTATACTCGTGGATGGCGATCTTGGCGATGATGTACGGCTCGAACCAAGCCTCGAGCCCGTCGATGAAGCTAAAACATTTCAGGAGTGACGTCGAACCAGACCTGGGAGTGCAGATGAAGAATAGTCGAGATCGTTTGACACCCGCCATCCCTACCGCCGTTGTATCCGACATTGCGAACTCGACAATGTCCAGTCGTATAGTCAAAGGTGCGATGAGAAAGATAACAAAGACTTGATATAACCTGCCGTCGTCCAGGGAGCTAGCTATATCCACAGCGATTCATGTGACAGGATAGTATTAAATGGTGAGCGAGTTCGTGTATACGTAGTATATATCAGCAAGAATGAATAAATCGTACGCTCTACGTATAAATTTCACTAAATTGTGAAATTATAGTTGTTTGAACGTACTTCGAACGTTTTGTTTGCTTACACGTCTTCCCGTAGTGCTCGCGGTATGTTAGGAATACTGTGGATAGTTTACGCATTAAACTACTACGAAATAGGTCCATGGTTTACGCATAATATACATATGTATTGCAACACTTTTCATCACTGTACTTTACTATCATTGTAATACATGTGTTTGGGTAGCGAACCGTGCCAAGAAATTTGAACTTCGTCCTCTTTTTTAAATAAGAGAGGGAGAGGTAGGGAGGGGAAGAGAGAGAGAGGGAGGGAAAGAAAGAGAGGGGAGAGGAGAGAAAGAGACTGGAGGAGGGAGGGAGGGATATCTAGAGGGAGAGGAAAGGGATTGTTAAAGGGATTTAAGTATATTTATAGAGGGAATGTTTAATTAGGGGATAAACATATTTGTATCCATGCAGAGCAGTTAGAGGGGACATTCTAATTGTAAGATATATATTATATTGAGCTTGCAGACTATAGCCTCATTTCGTTATGGTTTAAATAATGTTGATTTACTTGATGCCAGGCTATCAGTTCATGCATGTATGCCTAGCCAACATGACTTCCTGAAGATCTTTTTTTTTTGTAGTATTGTTTTATTGTATTCATTCAGTACAAAATACAGCTTCATTGATTTACATATATCAAAATATAAAGAAAATTGTACATCTCTCAAAAAATACTTAAGATAGTTTAATACACAGTACATAATGTTTACATTTAATTATACTGAACGAATATTATAAATCAAAGAGTTACCTACAGACAGACAGACACACCACACACGCTCACATACTCAGATACACATACAAACTGACATATCCCCCTCCCCCTTCATTCCAAAGGTCAACGAATCCCCCCTCCCTTCCCGAGCATTCACATCTACATATTTGTTGGAAATCCTGTCTCTTCCTTTTCCTTAAAGGTATTACAAAGTTTTGGTATGGGGTCATGAATTTAGTTCAAATTAACATATTGGAAGCATATGCTTTCCTACAATATTCATTGATCGTTGTCGCGGTTGAAATCGAGTCTAAAGTTATGAAATTATAAATAAAAAACTCTTTATGTTGTATAGCTCCCTCTCAAGGTCAAGATATCAATTTAGCTATGAAACAATGTTTCTTGACTAAAATCGACCGATTAGCTATTCCCGTTTGGAAATTATATATCACAACTACATATTCTGAGATTTTCATGGTCGCAGCTACCATTGTACGGCCATAGACGCTATTTGAAATTTATCAAAATTTACCGGGAGCACCGGTAAATGTTTATATCCAATTTTTCTCGAAAACAGAAGTGTTTTAGGGGCTAATTTTTTTAGTGCTTATTATACATCCACAGGGGAATCCAAATATATCAAAATTGTAAAGATTCACTATCCACCCAATTTTCAAAATTTCCCAAAACTTTGTATTACCTTTAAGACCAAATTATATATTTAAAAAAAAATTCTGAGTCTGAGAAAGAAGTTTTTGCCTCGCCGTCCTTAACTGTGGAAGTTGTCCCATTTTCTGAAGTGAAGTGTTGAAGTGCCTCTCTCCCCCGCTAATTCCTTTTCTTCTTGCCTATTTTCTATAATTCTTTTTTTTTTTTTTTTTCTTGAGGAATTGGGGGTCTATATCTAGTTGAACTATACTTAAAAATCATATGTTTTGTTAAAAGAATAATGTGATTTAACAGTTGTTCTTCTCCCGCTTTTTATCCCGATATGGATTTCTTGCCAATGTAGGTTTTTTAATGCTGATAAAGCAAAAAAGGTCACCGCAGTCTTTCCAAATATTTGCTACCTTTTCACAGGTAAAAACAGATGCTCATAGGTTTTTTCGTGTTTATTGCAAAAGGAGCAAAGATTGCTCACTGCATGTTTGAAAGTGTATAGATGCTTATTTGTATAAATTAAATTATATATGATATGATCAAAAGTAAGAGATCAAAAATCTGATCGGAGTTTTCATCTGGCTTCATACTCACTTTATCTCTTGTAAATATTGATAACGTAACTATAAAAAAAATAAAAATAATAATAACAAAAGAGAGAGGGAGACAGAGAGAGCTAGGGGACAGACCATAGAAACATAAGAGATATTTGCATGTTCCGCTATCGTAGAGAAGCTGGTGTTCAAAGGCCAAGGACTTGTGTTTATCTAACAAACTTTTCACGTAAAAGAGTCGTTCATATATTACAGTATCTCTATCAAATCGAACATGGCTGAAAAGGGTGTTATTTCTGCACGTTCCCGCGTATTTCTAGCTTGTGTGCCGCGCTCGGTTTCCACATCGCTTACGAAGTGTCTCAGCGCACTCGACGATGACCATGTGGTTTGGTTTGAACCTTACATATCGTGCAATTTTGCACTCATCGAGTACGAACTACGGATGGGGAAGAAGCTCCCACTCGACTACGAGGGCAACACGGAAGAATACCTGAAAGCTGCTACCTTCATTGAACACCAAGGAGTTGATATTGATGTCAATGATTTGTCTAATCTCCCCAAACCGTCGAGTGAACCAAGACTGATGTCGTAAGTAATGTTTGACCATTTAGGTAGAGGGGTGTTCAGGGGGGTTACATTGGCCAAGGGGAGCCTGCATTGGAGTGGTTCTTTCACTAAGGGCCCGGGTTACTGAGTGTACAAATGCATGCCCACAAATCCCAAAGACCTCGGGGTCTTTTTCCTCCAACTTCATTGACAAGCGATGGAAAAATGAATTTTTTTTTTCCATTGTTCATCGCACAATTTGGGGTGTCCTAAATATGACATAAAAGGAATTTCCAGCACCCTGCCCCTCCATATATCCTCTATAGCACCACATCACCCCGCTCTGGCCATTGTCCATGTTTAAATGATTTTTCAAGATCTATATTTCTAGATAGTTGGACAGTGTTGGTTTGCGGATTGATATTTATGGCGGCATTTTTAGATACACGTTCAACTACATGTTTTTTAAAGATATATAGACCGGTAGTGGTAAAATTGCGGTTCAATGGTTTTGGGTGCAAAATATCCATTCAATATTGTTCAAATATTGCCTTCAGAGGTCAAAATGGCAATCCTTAACCTAAATTCGCAAAAAAGCAGAAATATATACCCAAATGTTCAATGGTGAAGTGCATTAGCGATCTATTCAGGACGGATATAATATGATAATGTACCAAATATATCAATTAGTAGGCGGTTTCCCGCCAAAATTTGTATCATCACGTATTAGTCAAAACATATTCTTTCACATGATTGTTAATAAGAGCTTCCATTTCATTTTTGAGAGGGGGCGTTTCACAAACTGGAATATACCTTTAATGTGAAAAAAGAAATCCGAATGAATTGCGTGAATTCCTATTTAGCGACAAATCTAAAACGTAGAGATATATGTTAGGCTGATCGGACTTCTCGGGTTACTTGTCGCGGAGTTGTGGAGGGGTATGTGAACAGGTGAAATTGAAATGGGCAATTATGCATTTACCATATCATATGGTTGTGTTTTTAGGGGGTGGGGTATACAGTTTCGCACCCTTGGTGTCACGTGAACTCACCCTTATTAAACTGTTGCCCATAAAGTTGGAATAATGTTTCGTTGCCTCTTTCATGTAATGATTGTGACAATATGATTTATTTTGGACAAAGAACTTTTTTATCTTCCCAGAGCTTTAGTGATCAATCTCCATGACTCGTCAGAATGATCAATAAAGTTCAGAGAAGATATAAAACTATGTCAAGAATATAACATAATTTTTATTGTCTCAATCTTTTAATGACAAGAGGTAAAGCAAATGTTTTCTAACTGTATGGGCAAAAGTGTATAAATCAATTAAGACACAGACACAAATATTTCTGAGTTGTCTTATGATATAAAGTGAAATTCAAATGTTTATTATGGGTTTTTAATCTTTATATGAAGTAACAAGGTAGAACAAATCGTTCACTTTGGCATTAAATGACAATCAAAGTACACCATGACCCTAAGGCTTAAGATAAAATAATAATTGTCCTAATTATGCTAAGACATCCCTTCCGGAAAATAACAAAAACATCCCGCTTTTAAAAAGAGGAAGTAAAACAATGCACTCTAGTCTAGTAGAGTGCATTTATGTCTCACTTCTCTGATTTATGACTTCCTATTTTGACAATCCATGCTAGAACCAAAGAGATACCAGCACGGAGATGTAGAAAGTAGAAAATGGTGAGAATCAATCTCTCGGGGGGGGGGGGGGGGGGTAAATAGGGCCCGAGTATATAGCAAGAGGAAATATACAGTTATTCATTAAGTTCACTAAAATCATGAATATCAAATGTGAACAAATCTGCGAACATTGTATTTTTCAAAATATGTGAAGTAAACGCATTTAAATACATTATTGATATCAATTTTACATAAATATTAATATTTCCATTATTACCATAATTATTATTGTAACAATTTTCACAATATTGTTATTAATATTCTTATTTTTCTTTTCTTTTTATTATTATTTTGATTATTATGATTGTGATTACTATTATCATTATTATAATCATTATTATTAGATAGGGTCCATGAGAAAGATACGGAAGAGAGGGTAAAAAGTAAGACAGAAAACGAGAGAGATAGATCAAGATCAAGAGAGACAGAGAGAGGGGGATGGAGAGACGTACATAGAGACATATAGAAAGAGACAGAGAGAGGCAGAGAGAGCGGGGGAGGGGGGAGGGGGGTAACGGAGAGAGGTCAGTGATCGGGCATGATCCGAATCTCTAAGAACTGTCGTGCTCATGGAAAACCAGTTACCAGGAAATTGATATATTGACAACAATGATTTGTC